TGGGGACGCCCTGTGCGTGGACCCTGCCTTGTTCGTCCTTCTGTGTGTAACTTATCTCCCTGAGCATAACATCCTCGAGATCCAGCCATGCTATGGTGTCAGGAACCCCTTCTTTTCTAAGGGACTGAATAATACTCCGCTGTACATACAGACCACAATTTGCTTAGCTTCTCATGCATCTAGGGATGCACACATTGCTTCTATACTTACGCTGTTGTGACTATGCTGCCGTGGACATGGGTGTGTGTGCCAGGCCCAGCTGCTTACACCTGTAATCAAGACAGGAGGATCACTTCAACCAGGACTTTGCAGCCTGCCGGAGTGCCACAGGAAAATCCCATCTCTACAAAAACTAGCCAGGCGTTGTGGCGGGCACTTACAGTCCCAGCTACTTGGGAGGCTGAGGCGGGAGGATTATGTGGGCTGAGGAGTTGGAGGCTGCAGTGAGCTGTGATTGTACCACTGCTCTCCAGCCTGGGTGACAGAGTGACACCCTGTCTCTAAAAACAAAACAAAAATCAATGTGCAAATACCTCTTAGAAACCTGCCTTCAGTTCTCTGGGGCATAGAACCAGAAGTGGGTCTCTAGATCACATGGCAATTCTATGGAATGTTTTGGAGCCGCCACACTGTTTTCCACTGTGGCTGCTCCATTTTACATTCCCACCAGCAGTGCATGAGGGTTCAGATTTCTCCACATCCTGCCAACACATTATTCCTTCTCTGTTGTTATTTTTTAAGTAACCATCCCAATGAGTATTAGCCCCCTTAACAGTAACGTAATTAGCACGTAAGCTCCATCTGCTGCCAGCCGTTGCAGCCACCACCATGAAGACCCAGGTTCACTCTTGTCTACATGAGGCCTCTGCACTCCACCCTCGGGACACCCCCTCGCTGGGCTGGTCCCAGGAAACACCCAGGGTGAGACTGTCGCTGCCAGCGGTGAGCACTGTCCTCACGGGGTAGATTCAAACTTCCGATTTCTTCCCTCTTCACCTGTACCCCAGGCCAGGCCCTTCTGCACTGAGCTGCCTCCAGAAAACCACCCCGTCCCCATCACTGCCACACACCCGCCAGCATTCTGCTTCATTATTTAAGAGATAATTTTAGTTTGCCCATGGCTGTCTCTTACAATTCCTACCTGGACCCAGGTTTCCCAGACTAGGAGAAAAGAATCTAGACCCAAAGCAGAAAAGAAGTCAGCAGACCCAGAGGGTATGCTCAGGCAGGGCTGCCGGAAACCTGCAGGGGCTGCGGCAGCCATGGTGTCAGGCGGTGGAGAAGGTGGCAGGTGTGTCTGGCAAGACATCTCCCGCCTCGTGGCCACATTCCACAAGACAGAGCTTCAGGAAGAATCCTTTAAAAAATTAGTTCTAGGCTCAGCGCCTGTAGCTCAGTGCTTGGGGCATCGGCCACATATACCGAGGCTGGCGGGTTCGAACCCTGCCCAGGCCTGCCAAAGAATGACAACTTCAACAAAAATATAGCCAGGCATGGTCACAGGAACCTGTAGTCTCAGCTCCTTGGGAGGCTGAGGCAAGAGAATCGCTTAAGCCCAAGAGTTTGAGGTTGCTTGAACTGTAACGCCACAGCACTCTACTGAAGGCAGCATGATGAGACTCTGTCTCAAAAAATAAAGTGAAATAAAAATTAGTTCTAGAAGAAAACATATTCCTCAAAATAAGAGCAAGGTATCCTGAAGCCAAAAATATTTCCCCTTCTGGAGTTAAACCTAGCAGCTGTGAAAGCCAGTCCAGCCTGGGGCCTAGGGCCACACCCTCTTTTGTGGGCCCCTTAGGGCTTTGTACTGGCTTTGTCCCTGCTCCTGGTCTGCATCTTGCTGCCTCAACCTCCTAGAACAGAGAGAGCTTGGGGGTGTCACCTACGGGCACAGGGTACAGTGTCCAGAGCATCTCCCAGGGAGCCAGGGACAGTGCTGGAAGCAGACAAGGGGAGGCAGCTCCCACAGCCATGCTGTGTTTGCATGTCTGCTAGGGGAGTGCCCGGCCTCCCTGTGTCCCAGCACTGCTGCCCTGGGCTGCACCTGGGCTCTGCCTTTCACTGTGGAGCTCCAAGGGAGCCTGATGCTTGGTGCACCTGCTTGCCCAAGCACCTTGGCCTCCCTGTCCTCACCTGGGCTGCATGGGAAGGCTGGCCCAGAACCATGGGGCTAAGCCTCCCAGTGCCACTTTTAACCCAGAAAAACCATGAGAATTTGGGGGTCCACCAGCTCTCTTCACTTTGATGCCCCTGGGGTGGCTGCCAGAGCCCTCAAGGGAACTGAATTGAATGTTGACAGATGTCCAAGTAGCCACACTCCAGTGCCCTGTGGCCCCACCGTTAACTGGGAAGTGAAGGGAGAGACCTGTCCCTGAAGACTGAGGATGGGAACACCTATCCCATCTAGGCAGGGCTCCCTCAGGCCCTGGGTCCCTTGGCAGCTGCAGGCAGGCAGGAGGATCCAGCTGGTTCCAAGGTGGCCTAAGGGGGCTTGGCAGCTGGTCCTGCTGCACAAGGTGTTGACCTTGGCGAAAGTCCTCACCTATGTGAGCCCGGTGTCTGGTCAGGGAGAGTCACTCCCCCAGATCATGAACACCCCAGGGGCCAACGCCAGAGAGCCTGACCCCGGGCTGCAGTGCTCACCTTCACCTGCTGGGCCCTGCCTGGTGTGTCGACCAGACCCTGGCACCCTGAGCAGGGCCAGAGGCAGGAGGTCCTGATGTGCTGGGGTGGGCGGTCTTCTGGCAAGGATGGAGACTGCATGAGCCAGAGCACCTGGAAACAGGAGATAGCACAGCCACGAAGTCACTGCCTTGAAATCATAGAAAGTAAAACAATATTGATTAACTAGAAAGTGCTTCCTTCAATGAGAAAGAGGTCCAGCACTTATTTCTTACAATTTACCACAACTCAGTTTGTATTATTATTTTTTTTTTAAGAGGCAGCATCTCAGCCTGTGACCCAGGCTGGAGTGCCGTGACATCATAATAGCTCATTGCAGCCTTCAACTACCAGGATCACATGATCCTCAGTCTTGCTTTCTGTCCCCCCCACACACACACCTGTCCTTGCTTGGGTATGAGGCAGCAGCAAGGAAGAGGAAGAACAGGTGCTACCAGCCCCTGAGGGTTCATGTTGGCAGCACCATGGCCACTTCCCAGGTCCCCTGCCTCGCCACGTGGGAGCACCACACTGGGCTCTGCGCTGGACTATGCCAGGGCCCTCCCCAGTGTCACAGGCAGGTGTGGCAAGGAGCCTCTGCAATACCACATATTAATAGCATCCTCACGGAAGAATGGCAGACTTCCCAAATACAGGATTCAGAATATTAGTGAGGTGGGACTTTGCTCACCTGCACTTCGTGGGGCTCAAGGCTGGGCCCGACACTAGGATGGGCAGCCCTGACCTATAGGCCATCTCTGTGGGGCCCTGTGTGTGGATGCCCGCAGGCTCTGTGTATCTTCACAGCCTGTGTGTGTCTGGCTTTTCCCACCAGCACAGGACTCACTGGGGATGGCTGAGTGGCTGCTGTGCCCACACCTTCCTCTAAGTGCTTTTTAAAGGAGAAATGTCATAATTCCTATTACTGTTGGTCACATGGGCCCAAGCACCACTACAGACCCTTTCAGCCTACCCCATCAGGCCTCTGCTCCTGGTGTCAGGGACTTAGAAGTTTTACCATGAGCCCATTCACATGCAGCACTCTCACCCCTCAGAGGGACTCCAACAGGGACAAGATTAGAGACAGATATGAGAACAGAGATTGGGTAGGTGATAGAGGCTACTCCAGAGGTGTCAGCAGAATGCACAAGGCTCAGAGTGCAGGGGGCCATGATTCTTCCCACTGTGCACTGCTGGGGTGACACCAGCCAAGCGCAGGAGCATCCAGGACCTCAGCCAGGCAGCCTCAGACAGATTTGGGGCTGGGGTTGGAGGGACAGGGTGGTGGCAGGCGTACCTCTGCCCACCCAGCACCCCAGCTGGCAGCCTGGCCTCTCTGAGGCTGAGAGCTATTGTGCTGCCACTGCCAGGCGCCCACACAGCTGCCCGTTGTCCCAGCGCCCCCAGCCTGGGGGCACGAGCCATGGTTCCAACCAGCAGCTGCAGGCCACCTGCCTCCCCTGCCCCACCCCAGGCTCCCCTTTGCACTGTCTCCTGCTGTGACCTGGCTCCCTACAAGTGGCTGACCCCAGGCTTTCCAGGAGAGAGATGGCAGTGCCCACTCCTGCCCTCACTGCTCTTCCCCATGCACCCGGGTCTGGGATCATGGAGAAGCCCCAAAATGTGGGCCCTGCACCGCACTCATACAGGCACCCTAGGAGAGCGGGCAGGGAGGTGGGAGCCACGTTAACTTCTGCAGAGGAGTGAATAGAACAAAAACCTGCCTTTGGTTAATTTTCCTTCCAATACAAGTCATTCATAGTCAAATAAAATACCATTACAATCTTGGGATTTTCCATGAAAATAATTTTCCTGCTACTTCACATCATTTTTCCGCTTTGTTGTGAGTCTGGTTCGGAAGCCTGGCCTGCTGTGGAGGGGCAGAGTGGGCTGTAGGGAACAGGCCTCCTCCCAAGTGTGCAGTGCGCTTGTTCAAACTGTGTTTTTTAAGTGGCCTTTTCTCTCATAAATGGGCCTCAGTCCGAACCCTGTGGCATTGTGGTTTGCAGGTCTGGGTCTCCTTTATGATATGTGGCACAAATGCCATATCTTTGTATTAGAAAGGTTTTTGTGCTGAAAGTGTGCCCGTTAGAGATGGTGTTTTGTTTGCATTTTGTATACTGTGCTGTTGTTCCCATACTTCTGGTCTTGTTAAAATTCAAAAGGGAGTATATTTTACAAAGCTAATTGGATCAAATTCTAATAAAATGTGGTTTCTCACCACCAAAGGAAAAGCTGTGAGGACCCTTAGGACAATGTGGCTTCTGGCAGCCTTTGGTCCCCAAGGGCCACACAAGTCCCTGTGGCCCCAGACTCAGGCCTCGCCGTTCTCTCTGCAGGGACAGTGGCACAGCGATGTCTTCAGTGGCCTGGGCAGCATGGCCCACTGCTCAGGGGTCAGATACCATGGACTGTGGATCAACGGCCACCCAGCGGGTAGGTGTCTTCAGCTTTCTTGTTGGCCTTGTGTGGTCTACTGTGGGAGGAGTCATGGCCCCGCCCCTGGGCAGTCATGTGTGAGGTCCCAGAGCATATTGGGGCAGGGCTGGGAGAGAGTGGAATCTAAAATCTCCCTACCTTTTAGGAAAAACATGTTCTAATTTGATTTCAAAAGAGCTTATAAACATGCAAAGGCCCTGAGACCCAGGTGGTGCTGCTGCAAGTGGGCCCTCCTGGCCATGGCCCTCCCAGCTAGGGACCCAATCACAGGCCCTCCTAGCCCTGTGGGCCTGAATATCTGGGTAGCCTGGTCATGGCTTTGCTCCCTGTGTCCAGCTCCCCTGAGCTCTACCCAATAGGGTCTCCCTTTGAGCCAGTGGGCTCGTTTTTATCCCTGAGACACAAGATCCCCCCAGAACAGTGTGGGGAACCCCTTGTGGGCCCCACTGTCCCTGCCCAAGTGCCCAGTGCTCTGTTGGGTCTGAGCTGCTGCTGCCTACTGGGCATGTAGCTGTGTCGCAGCATCTCCCAGCAGTGTGTCTGAAGGCCTCCAACACCCTTTGAGGGCATGGGTGTCAGGGTTCAGCAGCAGTGGGCCCCTGGGTACGGGCTGTGCATGCTCTGCCTTTAGTAGGCCCAGCCCCAGCTCTGCATCTAGCACCTCTAGGTGCTGACTTGGACACAGAAGCCAGGGGGACCCAGGGCCTAAATCCCCAGCGACAGGAGATAGCCGAGCATACCACTAGCAGGGCCCCTGCGGTTTATTCAATGTGATTGTTGCTATGAAATAAAGAGCCCTGAGTTCCCACAGCAGACCCTCACATCTCCTATTTAAGGACTGCCAGGCCACTTCTCCCCATGATGGTTGTGTGCTTGTGTCTGGAGCCCACACTGGGCTCCCCCCAGAAGCCCTCAGACTGGGTGGGAGGCAGATCCGAGGCTTACTCCGAGCCACCCCCGCTCCCCACTCTGCTCTCTCCCAGCACAGGCAACAAGGATGGTGATTTTGGGCCCGGACGTGATGGAAGTGGTTCAAGGATCTCCCTTCACATTGAGTGTCCAGCTGCAGCAGGACAGCGGGGAAGTAGCCAAGAGTGAGTGTCTGCAGGATGCTCACTGCACCAGGTCCACGAGCAGCAGGAGTATGGACGCTGCTATGCAGTGCTCCTGACCATGTGGCACTGCCCAGAGCCTGGCAGAGGACAGCAGGCGTGTGGGCCCTCTTTCCAGCCAGGGGCAGCCATGCGCACGGGGGTGTGAGAAGGTGCTCACATGTGTGCAAGCATGAGTGAGCATGTGTACATGTACAAGCATGAGCGAGCGTGTGAGCATGTGTGTGAGCATGCATGTGAGTGTGGATGTGTACAAGCATGAGCGAACGTGTGTGTGAGCATGCATGCAATCATGTGCGTGTATGCAAGCATGCATGTGAGCATGCATGTGTCTGGTGCTTCAGTGGTCCTTGCCCACAGATGCTCACCTGCTCATTCACTGACAGACATTGGGCTGTCAGGAATAACGCAGCCCTGGACATGTGGGTACGAGTTCCTGTGCAAACATATGTTTTCAGTTCTCTGGGGTGTGTACCTGCAAGGGTGCTACTGGACCATATGGCAGATTCATGTTTACAGAAACTGCCAAACTGTTTCCAAAACGGCCTCTCCACATTGCACTCCCACTAGCCTGTTCAGGGGTCCTGGTCTCCCAACATTTTTGTCAGCAGTTGGTATTTGCTATCCTTGGGAAGTGACCATCTTCTGGGTGTGAGGTGGGGTCTCCTCATGCTGCTGTTTGCATTTCCCAAATGACTAATGTTGCTCAGCAGCTTTTCCTGTGCTTATCAGTTATTTGTAGGCCTTTTCTAGAGAAATAGCTATTCAAATGTTTACCCATTTTTTACAAATAGTTTAATTTTTGAGTGATGGCTCTTTATGTATTCTGGATATAAGTCCTTATCAGATGTATCTTTGCAAATGTTTTATTTCTTTTTTTTTTTTTTTTTTTTTTGAGACGGAGCCTCAAGCTATCCCCTTGGGTAGAGTGCCATGGCATCACGCTCACAGCAACCTCCAACTCCTGGGCTCAAGCGAGTCTCTTGCCTCAGCCTCCCAAGTAGCTGGGACTACAGGCGCCCACCACAACGCTCGGCCATTTTTTGGTTGCAGCCATCATTGTTGTTTGGCAGGCCCGGGCTGGGGATTCGAACTCGCCACCTTAGGTGTATGTGGCTGGCGCCTTAGCCGCTTGAGCCACAGGCGCCGAGCCCAAATGTTTTATTTCAACCTATGGCTTATCTTTTCATTTTCTTAATACTGTCTTTTGAATAGCAAAAGTTTCTTGAGTTGAGGGGGTTTGTTGTTCTTATTGTTGTTTTGAGGCAGACTCTCACTCTGTCACCCAGGCTGGAGTGCAGTGGTGTGATCACAACGCACTGCAGCCCAAAGTGCTGGGCTCCAGTGACCTGCCCACCTCTGCCTCCTGAGGAACTGGGACTGCAGGTGCATGCCACCACACATGGCTAATTTTTTTTTTTTTTTTAGGAACAGGGTCTGGCTATGTTGCCCAGGCTGGGCTCAAGTGGTCCTCTCACCTCAGTCTCCCAGAATGCTGGGATTACAGGCATGAGCCACTGAATCCAGCCCAGAATATTCTGTAAATGTCAATCAGGTCACTTGCCAACACCCTTCTTTAAGCTTACTATATCCGTGCTGATTTTCTGTCTGCTTGTTCTATCAACTATTGGGAATCAATCTCTGACTATAATTACGTATTAGTCTATTTCTACTTTCTTTTCTATCAGTTTTTGCTTTGTGTCCTTTGAAGCTGTTACTAGGGCTACCGCATTTAGGGTGGTTCTGTCACTGGGACGTGATATGCCTGCTGGATCCTGCTGAGTCCCTGCTCTCACATCCACCTTCAGTGCTGTCACAAGGCCACTGTGGCTTCCTCCTGAATAGTACTGCATGGTGCAGCTCATCTATCCTGTTACTTAGACCCATCTGTATCTTTCTATTTAAAGTGTGCTTTTTGCAGGCAGCTTATAATGGGGTCTTGCTTTTTTATGTATCCAAATACCATTCACATTTAATATGATTATTGACATGGTTAGTTCAAACTTACCATTTTGCTATTTTTTATTTGCCCCAGCTGTTTTTCCCCCTTTATATTCTATTTCTACCTTGTTTTACTTGGTATTTTTTATGATTTCATTTTACCTTCTCTGTTGACTTATTAATTATAACTTTGTTTTAATATTTGAGGGGTTGCTTTAGGATTTATAATATGGGCTCGGCGCCTGTGGCTCAAGAGGCTAAGGCGCCAGCCACATACACCTAAGGTGGCGGGTTCGAATCCAGCCCGGGCCCACCAAACAACAATAATGGCTGCAACCAAAAAATAGCCGGGCGTTGTGGCAGGCGCCTGTGGTCCCAGCTACTTGGGAGGCTGAGGCAGGAGACTCGCTTGAGCCCAGGAGTTGGAGGTTGCTGTGAGCAGTGAAGCCAGAGCACTCTACCCAGGGGCTCAGCTTGAGGCTCTGTCAAAAAAAAAAAAAAAAAGGATTTATAATATTCACCTCTAACTTTTCACAGTTACTTTCAAGTGATTCCACACTACTTCATGTGTGAGCACTTTACAGTATTTTTTTCTTTTTCTGAGGCAGAGTCTCAAACTGTTGCCCTGAGCAGAGTGCCATAGCATCATAGCTAACAGCAACCTCTAACTCTTGGACTCAAGTGATCCTCTTGCCTCAGTTTTTCTATTTTAGTAGAGACAGGGGTATCACTTTTATTCAGGTTCATCTCAAACTCGTGAGCTCAAGCAATCCACCTGCCTTGGCAAGGATCACAGGCTGAGCCACCACGCCCAGCCTACAGTATTATTCTTTTATCTCCACTCTTAATTTTTATGCACTTAAAGATGCAATCTCTACCCCAGACTTTATGTACTCCAGTTGTTTCATACATTTAATTCATTTTATATTTACATATGTCATAAACTTTATAATACATTGTTATTATTTTACTTACATGAACACATCTTTAACGTGTAGTTAATAAGCAAAAAAAAATCTGTTAGTGTTTCCGGTTCTTCTCATTCTTTCTTCCAGACCCAGATTTTCACCTGTCTCATTTCCTTTCTGCCTTGAAGGGCTTAATCATTAACATTTCTTGTAGTGCAGGTTTGCTGGTGAGGAACTCTTTCAGCTTTTGTATGCCTGGAGACGTTCTGAATTTACTTTCATTTGTGATAGGTATTTTCCCCAGATATAAAGCGCCATTTTCTCCCATAGTCCTTTGAAGATGTTGCTCCATTGTCTTCCTGGTCACAGTGTCTCCAACAAGAAGTCTGCCGTCATCCCTATCTTTGGTTCTCTGAAGAAACACGCCCTTTTCCTCCAGCTGCTTCTAAGATTTGTTGTCACTGGTTTAAGCACTGTGATTATGGTGTGACATGGTATTGTTTTCTTTGTGTTTCTTATGCTTGGATTTCATTGAGCTTTTTGCATTCTGTAAGTTTTCATCAAATTTGGAAAATTGTCAGCCATTTCTTCCAATAATTTTTCTGTGACAGCCTCTTCTGTGTATTACCCATATATTAGGCTGCTTGAAATTGTCTGCTCTTCACAGGTTTCCTCCCTCACTCTCTTCTTTTCCTTCTTTCTTCCCTCTCTTCCTTCTTTTGTTTGTTTTCCTTCTTTTTCTTTTTTATTCTTTTTTCTCTCAATGTTTTATTTTGGACAGTTTCTACAGCTGCATAGTTGGCCCTTGAACAACAGAGATTTGAGCTGTGTGGGTCCTCTTCTGGACCCACATCATCTCTACCATCCCCGAGACAAGAAGATCAACCCCGCACCTCCCTCCCTCCCCTCAGCCTGTTCAGTGTGAAGATGACAAGACTGAGGCCCTTTACCATGACCCACTTCCACTTAGTGAATTATAAATGTATTTCCTCTTCTTATGATTCTCTTTTCTCAGGATTATTTCATTATAAGAATATATATAACATATAAGGCTAGGCGCAGCTCATGCCTATAATCCCAGCACTTGGGAGGCCAAGGCAGGTGGATTGCCTGAAATCAGTGTGAGCAAGAGCAAGACCCCATCTCTAAAAAATAGCCAGGTGTTGTGGTGAGCACCTGTAGTCCCAGCTATTTGGGAAGCTATGGCAAGAGGATCACTTAAACCCAAGAATTTAAGGTTGCTGTGAGCTAAGATGCCACGGCACTCTACCAAGGGGAACAGAGTAAGACTCTGTCTCAAAAAAAAAGAATGCATATAACATACAAAATATATGTTAACCAACTATTTATGTTGTCAATAATGCTTCCAGTCAACAATAAGTTATTAGTAATTAAGTTTTGGGGAAGTAAAAAATTATACACAAATTTTTATGCAGAGGGTCGATCCTAACCTCACATTGTCCAAGGGTCAACTGTATTTTCAAGTTTATAGATCTTTTCTTCTGCAATGTGTAGCCTGTTGTGGGTCACATCCAGGGTATTTTTCATCTCTAGAAGTTCAACCTTGTTATTTTTTACATCTTCTGTGTCACTATTTAACTTCTGAACACATGGGATACAGTTATAATAATAGCAACAACTTTTGAAATGTCCTTTTCTGCTAATTCTAACATCTGTGTCAGTTCTGGATTGGTTTCAATCAATTGATTTTTCTCTTCATTATGGACCATACTTTCCTGCATTCTTTTCATGCCTGGTAATCTTTGATTGGATGCCAGACATTGTAAATTTTACCTTGTTGGGTGTTGGATTTTTTGTGTGTTCCTATAAATATTCTTGAGCTTTGTTCTGGGGCACAGTTAAGTTACTTGGAGACAGTTAAATCCTTTTGGGTTTTGCTTTTGTTATTTGCTAGACAGGTCTGGAGGAGAACTCTAAGACTAATTATCCCCCATTACTGAAGAAAAAAAAAAAACCTCTGAGAAGTCTGTGCAAGTTCCTGTGACTTCTGAGTCTCTCCAGCCTGGCTGATGAGGACAGGCACCACCCCCAGTCCTGTGTGAGCTATAGACCAGGGCCCCTCTAATTTCAGGTAGTTCTTTCCAGCCTCGTGGAGTCTCCTTGCATGCGTGTGCTGATCTGTGCTCTGCAGGGATTTGGGGGGCCTCCTGCAGACCCCCAGGGTCCATTCTCTGGCCAACACTCTTTTCTTGGTTGCTCTGTCCTCTGCACTCTGGAACTTTGGCCTTGTGCCTTGTTACCCCCCAGGTTATTAGCTGTTTCTTCTCAGCTGAGAGAGCTTGTTGGCTCTGGCTCAGTTGCCCCTCTCGGCACCTAATCCTGCACCTTCTCTCCAGGCTGTGGCCTGGGCAGTTGTAGAGTCTCCCCAGGTATTTTCAATCTCCCCAGGACCACTGTCCTCAGTTGCCTGATGTCTAGGATCTTGAAAACCATGTTTATTATAGTATATTTTCTCTTTGGACTGTTTTAAAGAAGAAGAAAAACCAGTCCCAGACCAATCCCAGTTACTCCATCTTGATACAGAAGGCAATCAAGCCACATTGGTGGGGTTTTTTGTTTGTTTGTTTGTTTGTTTGTTTTTGTTTTTTGTTTTTTGCAGTTTTGGGCCAGGGCTGGGTTTGAACCCGCCAGCTCTGTCATATGGGGCCAGTGCCTTACTCCTTTGAGCCACAGGCATCGATCGCCCTGGTTTGTTTGTTTCTTTGGTTTTTTTTTTTTTTGAGACAGAGTCTTACTTTATTGTCCTCGGTAGAGTGCTGTGGCATCACCCAGCTCACAGCAACCTCCAACTCCTGGGCTCAGGGGATTCTCTTGTCTCAGCCTCCCAAGCAGCTGGGACTATAGGTGCCTGCCACAATGCCCAGCTATTTCTTTGTTGCAATTTGGCCGGGATCGGGTTCAAACCCGCCACCCTCGGTATATGGGGCTGGCACTCTACCCACTGAGCCACAGGCGCCGCCCCAGCACATTGGTTTTTTAATACAATTCTTGATATATTTTCTTCCCCAGTCAATGGAGCTTCTGGTATTTGCCCCATGGTGTCCCCTTTTCCAGGTCTTAGTGACACAAGAAGCCAGATGATGAAGCTTTACTGACACTGGTCAGTGGTTCTTGTTGGCCTATCTTTCCCCTTTGGGCCTGGAGCTGCACAGAGCCCACAGGGCCAGACCCTAGATGCCACACAGTGGCAGGGACAGAAGACTGATGCTCACCAGCAGCCATCAGGATCCTCTCCCCTGCTGCCTCACAGGGAGCCCACCTGGGGTCTGCTGCTTTGTCTCAGTGTCCTAAGTTTTTAGAAACCTAGTTACTTCCTGACTCTTTTGTGAGCCTGGAAGCCTGTCCCAACAGGCAGCATATACTCTGGGAGCTCAGGACCAGCCTCCAGCCTCTTCCCCTTGTTGGGAACGGCTACTCCGCCTCCTCCCCAGATGCCCAAGCTGCTCTGCCACACCCCCAGCACTCCTCTCCATCAGATCCTCTGGGTGTGGTAGGTGCCCAGCTCTCACCTCCACCTGCCCAGCCGGGTCCTGGAGATCTGTGCTCAGTGATTCAAGGGCATGGTGATGTCCATGCCTTGGGCACTATCCTCTGAGAGCTGCCTGTAGCCTGAGATTTCCTGGTGCCAGGAGCAACAGGCTGTAACACTTGCCCCAGAGCAGCTGCACCGGAGATGATTGTACCCCTCACCAGGCACTTTGTGGACAACAGTGGCGTGCCAGGCCCTGTACTGGGTACCTCAGTAGGGGGACCCACCCCTGGGATCAGGGTGGGGATGGGCACAATGGAGAGTATTGATGTCCACCCAGGCGAGGTGGACCTCAGCAGGGCCTAGCCTCAGGACACATTCTCGCTTGGCATCCCCTGTAGGCTGGGGTATGCAGCTTGGTGACCCCATGAGGCTGGGTAGCCAGAGAAGGCCCTCTCAGCAAGTGTGGGCAGTAGGCCAGCTCAGCAATAGGGTCACAGTGTCCTGAGGCCAGAACAAGAGACCTGGGGTCCAGGACTCAAGTGAGGGCAGAGATACAGGGTGAGCATAGCTGGCAGCAGGGATCTCAGGGCTGGGAGGAAGCTTTTGTGGGCACAGAAGGGCAGAGAGCCTGGAGAAGGGCAAGCAGGTCTTTTCCAGTGACCAGTTGCAGTTAACTGTGGCCAGCTGCCACTGTTCTAAGCGCTGCCTCACAAAAGCCCACCCCAGGTTCATCCCTGGCAGAGTCCAGGGAGACCCAAGCCAGGTCTGCCGACCCTGGGCACAGTCTGAGGGTTTGCCCCACTTCTCTCTGGAAGGTGAAACTGGCCGGGTCCTGCAGATCTCAGCGGGCGTCAGACACGTGCAGCTGCCAGCCTACTCCGAGGTCAGCTTTTTCAAAGTGGATAACGACAACCAAGAGACGTGCATTCAGACCCCATTGTGAGTGAGGGTGACACTGGACATGGTGTGCTGCCCAGTGGAGGGAAGGACAGAGGGAACGACGGAGGGTCCAGGGGGAAGCAGAGGGGAGAGGAGTGGTGAGGCAGCAACGGACCAACTTCTCCCCTTCCTTCTTTCCTTCCCATCCCCCCTTCCTCCCTTCCTCCTTTTTTCCTTCCATCTTTCTCTCCTTCTATCCTTTCTTCCCAAAGAAACTTTTTCCTTGTCATCTTTACAACTCATGTCACAGACTTCAGGACTGAGCTGAGCTGAGGGCTGTGACTACCCTCCAAGCACATCAGCCTCCTCTCCCCAGCAGTCTCTTCTGTAAACACACTGTGCTAACCCACCTGAGCCTAGCGTGGAGGGGCCTGATCAAGGCCGGGGTGGACTCCCCATCTTACACCTCACACTCAGGTGCAGCATCTGTGGGGAAGGACCACAGCTCCCAGCATGGGCTCAGTGTTGTGTGTGAGGAAGTTGGGGCTCCCTGAGTGTACATGCAAGCTAGTTGTGGGTCTGTTTGGGTCACATTGATTCCTGTGACCCCCACCCCCTCAAATCAGGGGTAAATCCTAGCCATGAGCCCTCTGAGGTTTGCCCCACGAGGAGGGCTCCGCCAGATTTCAGCATCTACTGCGTCTGCTGCAGCCCCTCTTGGCATTTGAGACGGTGAGCCCCTGGCCAGGTCCCCCACATGTTCTGCCACACCTGACCAGAGCCCCTCACCCTGAAGCCAAGGCCCCATAGCACCTCCAAGGGTGGCACCAAGACTCTGGCCCCGAGTGCTCCTGGGGGCAAAGTTGGCCTCCCTGGAACTCACTCTGGGCAAACAAGAGGCCTTCCCACCCCTCAGGACCTGAGAAACCATTGTTCCTACCATTTGTGGTCAGAATTTAGAAATGACTTTAGCAGCCATGTGTAAGTATGACACTGTGGCTCAGCCATGTTCTTCAGGGGGTGAAAAAGCCTCTTGGCCATTTCTAGGCCTGCCTGGCATTTCAGGTGGACTTGGACTGATTTGGCTAGTGATGTGGCTGGAGTTGACATAAATAATAAGGCAACAGCTGTCCCTTCCCACCGGGAGAGCTGCTGTCTCAAGGGGGAGGCCCTCCTGCTTAAGAGTGGCTGAGGGCCCCAGAGCTGAGCCCAGGCTGAGTCCTGGGGACAGATTGTGGGCCCCGTGTCAGGTGAGCAGAGCTAACCACCCTCTTCCCTTCACAGTGGCTTCGAGTGTGTGCCTTATCCCCTGTCCAGCCTCCCGTCCAGGGCACTGGATCCCCAAACCGCTGTGGAAGATGCGGGGGCCAACCTGCCCTTCCCCAAAGGAGACCTGAAGCCAGTGGTGGACTCAGGCACCTCCCACGGCCAGAGCGACACACCTGGTAGCCACCCTGGTGAGTGCAAGGAGTGGACCGGCTGGGGGTGGGCATAGCGGTCAGGGTGTGGAGGGATGATGCCCAGAGCCAGGCCCTCCTCGTGGGGCAAGCAGGACCCCTCCAGGGGCCAGTGACCACAGAGCACGTTAAAAGGCAGGGAGCTGGCCATCCTGGCTGGCCCGGCATCCTGGCAGGTGGCTGGGTGGCTGTGCCCCTACTGCACAAACCCGACATGTAGTCCGGGGCAGGGCAGGGTCAGGTCACTTCGTCTGCCCCAAGCCTGCAAGGGCTATAGCACCCAGACAACCCCCTCAGGGTTGAGTTCTGGGTCTATCATGCCAGTGCTTGAGCCCAGAGGGCATAGGCCTATAGTCAGCTTGCACATGACCCCTGAACCCTCCTGTGGCCTTGGATCCCCACGATGGCCCCACCTGAGGCTCTGTGGCCCTGACTGCCCACACGTGTGGTCTGGCTCTGGCTGGTTCTGCTCCTGTGCCTGTCAGTCCCAGTGCTGGGGCAGAGTCCCCCCTAGGCAGATCGAGGTGACCCTGCACTTCAGCAGGTGTTCTACCTAGATTGGCCACAGACCGTTCCAGAACTATTCACAGGAGCAGGTACTGAACCTGGGAGTTGAATCAAAGTTTAGTCACTACAGTGTGGGTTTGTGGACACCACATCCTCCCATGTGACCTGCACACTGCAGATATGCAGTTTGCACCCCAATTTGGGGATGAGGGCATACAGGCATCATGTGCATGTAGGCGTTTCAACCAAGCAGCACTCTGGGCGTGCTCAACTGGGTTCTAGACTATCGAGGACAGGATGGCTTGATAAACAGGGCTCAAGTGTGGGGGGTCTGTCTGGCAAATTCATGAGCCCTCTGGTTTTGAGGAACTTCAAAAAGGGTCCAGCTAGCAGCTGAGGTCCCCTGGCCCCACACAGGGACCTGAACCCTGGGCCACAGAGCAAAACAGGGCAGATCTCAGGTACAGGGCAGCATCCAGAAGGAGGTGCAGGCACAGAGGTGGAAGCCAGGAGCAGCGGTGCCTCCCCAGGATGGCGTCCCAGTCATCACTAACACACCCGCGCCAGCCTGCCTCATGCTGCTCTCTCACCTGCTGCATACCAGCCATCCTCCCCAGGACCTGCAGAGATGGCCACCACCTGGGTGCCATCCAGTCAGGCCACCATGTCCCCATGTGCTGCCCATCACATGCTACCCAGGGGCCCACACAAGTCTCCAAAGCCCAAACAAGCCCTTGCTACCTCCCACCTGCCAAGGCCCTTCAGTCAGGACCAGGAACATGGAGCATGCACTGGGCAGACTGGACCCTCCTGCCCACTCCCCTTACCCCAGGTGGTTCCCCATCCTGCACCTCTGGCCAGACTCAAGTCCTCCTCACACAGCGGGCTGGGGCCCAGGGTAATGTCGGCAGGTGGCGCCTGAGCTCTCTGTGGCGCGTGTGGCCCTGTACCCCTCCCTGACCTTCTGGCCATTGCCCACAATGGCCCCCATCTGTGTCAGTGCTCCTGCCAGTCCTCCCTGAGGTTCCATTGTTGGTGGCTGAGGTGGAAGGAAGTGGCATGAGGTGGCCTTGCAGGCCCTCAGAGGGAAGACATCTCCAACCAGAGTGTCCCCTTTGGGTGCCTATCCCCATCCCCTTCTCACCTGCCCTACCCTGGAAGCTTCCCCCCCCACACCGCCCCAGTGGCTAGGGGGCCCCAGAGCCCCTAGAGCTGCCCCAGCAGAGGTCCCACAGAAGGTGGCAAAAGACCAAAGGCTGGACCTCTGCCCCTGAGCCCGGAGGCCACCCCACAGTACAGGGGTGGGAGGCCAGTCCTCCCTTGACAGTGTTGCAGGCCCAAGGCCACAGGACTTGAGCACCTCTGGGGGCAACATGGTCCAGCCCTAGGGCTGTGGGACCAGTGGGAGACGGGGCCTGGCACACGCAGCGTCTGCTTCCATCTCAATTTATGGGAGCAGTTTTATGCCACATCGGCGGAATACCTCTCATATTTCTGCATAAAAATACTCAGTGGGCGCCATTCCCCCTGCTAGGAAAGGTTTTCAGAGCCAAGTAACAAGGTCTCTATTAGAACCAGGCCTTGGAATGCAGGGTCCGCTCAACACCCTCTTGCCCTCCTCGCAGCGCCAACCCTGTGGTACCAGTCAGCCCTGAGTGCCGGTCTTGCCAAATGGGCCTGGGGTGGGAACTCTGCTGGGGTTGCCGCCCCCGGGAGCTGGATCTGGTTCCTAGCTTGGCTGTGACACAAGTGCCGAGGCACAAACACTGTTATCTTTGCAGAAACCTGGAGGAGCATGTTCTTGTCCAAAGAATGGCCAGGGCAGAGTGTGGCACCAGCCTAGCGCCCCTCCCCAGAGGCATCTGGGACTACCTGAGCAGCTGCCTGCTGCTTCTCCCTTGCCCCCATTTTCAAGCTTAACATCTCTCTGCCTCAGTTTCCTCCTCCATAAAATGAGGATAACAGCAGTGTCCTCCCCACGACCACTGCCTGAGTCCTGTTTGCCGGCGGCCACCCTGTCATGGTGTCTGCCCTGTGGAGTCCAAACTGAGAAGAGAGAGGAGGCCGGGGGCCAGGGAGGCTTGCTCACTGCTACTTTTGCTTTCTTAAAGCCCAGAATCTCCCTCATAGGAGGTTGGTTGGGCAGAACTCAGCCGGGACACGAGGCCCTTGCCCTGGCAGGAACCTCTGGACAGGTGTTTCTGGGCACTCAGGTCCCTGTTAGGTGCTGGTGGCAGTAACCTGGACTACTGAGTCATCAGTGGAACCCCAAAGTGCATCCTCCCAGGACCAAGCACTAGAAACACTTCTCAATTTGAGTGACTTTCCCAGGTCCCTGCCAGCTGCATGGGAAATTCAGATCCCAGGCAGGAGAGTCCACGGGCCAAGCATAGTGGAGGGTCCAGGCCTCGAGGGCTTCACTTGTTTGGCAAACTGTGATGGACATGAATGGAATGTAGACCCCCCACTCCCCCCTCTTTCTATCCTTTCCTCTCTCTCCCTCTCTCTATTCCTTTCTCTGTCCCTCTCTCCCCCTCTATCTCTCTCTCTCTCTCTGCCCTCTCTCTCTGTGTCCCCCTCTCTCTCTCTGTCCTCTCTCTGTCCCTCTCTCTCTCTTCCTCTCTCTCTCCCTTTTTCTTTCTCTGTTCCTCCCTCTCTAACCCTCTTTCTCCCTCCCTCCCTCTCTCTCTCCCTCTCTCTCCCTTTCTCTGTTTCCCTCTCTCTCTCTCCCTCTCTCTCTGTATTTCTCTCTTTCCCTTTCCCTCTATCCCTCTCTCTTTAGTCCTTCTTCTCACTTCACATGACCCACATAAGACCACTCACCTGCTGACCACCTTGAAACCATGATCCGATTGAACCGTCAGTTCCTTCTATCTGCATGACTTTCAGAATGAACTTTCTTCCCAGCTCCCTCCTCCAGTTGACAGCCTGTCCTCCTCATGCAAAGGACATCAGGCCTTCCCCAGCTCTAGGGCAGCCAGGTCCCCCTTGACCCCTGGAGGCTCCCTCTGGCCCGGGGTCCCCCTTCTCCAGCTGCCAAGTAATGAGGTTACTACAGAAGTTCATTCTGCCTGCTTAGGACAGCGTCTGCCTATAAGGAAGAGGAAACACCAAAATAATAACGACTTCAACAAGAGGGCAGTTGCTTCTACCGACTTCAACAAGAGGGCAGTTGCTTCCACCCATGTCCAGAGGCCTGGAGGTGTCAGCCCAGGGCCCAGCTCTAGCCACCCTTGCCCACCGGACATCACTTCTCCCTTGGTCAGCAGGCTTGCAGGGGCTGGAAGGGCAGCCCACCTGAGCAGGTCTCTGCCCAGCCACTTGGAGCCCTCAAACAAGATCTCACAAACAGCCAGAGGGGACCTCACCCCCATCCTTTATCCATCCTCCTGAAGCCATCCCCACACATGCGGAGAAAGTCAGGAATCAATTCCTTATAAGAATGAGTTCTGTATTCTCAGAAAACCAAACAAAGGAAAACCCTCACATATGGCCCTCCCTCTGGCCAGACCTTTGCCAAGGCCCTGGAGCCCTATCTCCCACCTGTGATGTTGCCTGTATGGAGCCCAGGGGCTGTGGGCTGCTGTGCCCATCCCGGGCTCTAGCTGCTGCCTCTGTCCTTCCCTGGGGAGGGCCCATTGCCAGCCAGATACAGGGTACTCAGGGAAAACAGCTCTGTGGGCATGGAGACATTGCTGCTGGGACTAGCCACATGGTGCAGCCCACAATCCACTCATTCCGCAGCCGCCAGCCAAGGTTTCCTGCCCAGGAGGCAGCTGGAGTGCAGGTTACAGAGCTTTAGGTCAAAAGATACTCAACATAAGACCTAAAACATCAATACTCGGGCCAGAAAACCTCCGAGGGAATTGTACCCATGAAAGCTCTTCCCCATGATGCCTCAAATAGGGAAAATGCAAGAAAAGTGCAGCCAGGGCCGAGACCTAAGTCTGGGTGTCCCTCTCACCTGGCCACAGGCACCATGGACACCTGCCCCTGACTGAACACTTGGCAGCATGACTAGAGAAAGAGAGTTCCCACTGGGACCCTCCCGTCACCAGGAGCAACCTCCCTGGCACACCTTCTCTGGCTGACCCAAATGTGGCCAGAGGGCTTTGTCCTGGACAGGCCATGTGCTCAGATGAGGCATGGCTGACTTCTAACAGACAACATGATGTGGCTCGGCACCCGTAACTCAGTGGATAGGGCCACGTACACCGAGGCTGGTGGGTTTAAGCCCGGCTGGGACCTGCTAAACAACAATGATAACTACAACCAAAAAATATCCGGGTGTTGTGGTGGGCACCTGTAGTCCCAGCTACTTGGGAGGCTAAGGCAAGAGATTGCTTAAGCTTAAGAATTTCAGGGTGCTGTGAGCTGTGACACTACAGCACTCTACCGAGGATGACATAGTAAGACTCTGTCTCAAAAAACAAAAACAACAAAACTCTTAGAAATGATCAAGGAATACAGTGGTGTATCAGGATACAAAATCA